GGCGTGCGGGCGGGTTGCCTACTCGCTAGGGGCTCTCCTCCCTCACGCCAGCAGCATGGAGCCGTGCAGGTAGGCAATCCTACCGGGGTGCATGCAGGCGTGCGGGCGGGTTGCCTACCTGCTAGGCGTCCTCCGTGTAGTACCACCGTTCCGTCCCGTGGCCAGGTCAGGTACGGTAGGCAAGTCCGCCCTCGCCCCTGACCGAGTCAGTCTCTAACGACACGGCTGGAAACCGATTGCAGGGCGATTGCACCTCTCACTCACCTGGTCGACCCGGTAGTTTTCGGCGCAGCAACTACGTGTGCGAGCAGGCGCCGGGCCGCCGCCGGGCGTGGCCCTGTAGGCTGCGGGTACGGCTGCTGCTGACGGTCGCCGCTACCGCCGCTCTGCCCTTGGCTGGTGGGTACGTCCACGTCGCGCAGATCAGTTGGTCCGAATTACGTTTGGAGGCCGGCGGCAGTAGTGCGCCGGGCCAGCCTAGCAGCGCGGCGGTGCCTGTGCCCGGCGCTGCTCGCGTGCGAGAAGGGGACTATGGCGCCCGGGCCGCGCCGGGCACGCTCGAGATGATACGAATTATTAGGCGAGCGGCTCTGGCTCTAACGACTTATTATGGGGGGGATATACATCTCCTGGAGGTTACAACGGAAAGGCGCCCCTTCTTTTTATTTTGGCCGGGTCGGGTATACAGTAGGAGGCCAATGCATCATCATACGCACAGCGATTAACGCGCAAGTGCTTTTGTCAATGTCGCACGCTTCTTGTAGGCGCGTGAGATTTTATGCGTACTCTTGTACAGTGCTCTCCTTTACATGCACAAGTGTGCGGGATGCGTGCACACCTGCAAGTGTGCGAAATTTCACACTCTTTGGTTTTTAGTGAGGCAGCGGTACACGCGGCCGCAGGGAGGGAAGTCCCGTCCGGCGGAAGGGACCCTCTCTCCTCCTCTCGGCTGCTGGGAATGCGACCCGCTCAGCTGGCGACCCCGCCCTACCCCGCGGGGCGTGGCGGCGTGCGGCGGCTGCTGCTGGCGCTGCTTGGCACGTAGGGCCCAGTTGGCGCCAACCGCCGCGCCTAAGGGTCACGCCACGCGGCGTTGCCAACTAGGTAGGCAAAAAAAGAAAATCTCCGCGAATACCACTTATGTATGGACCGAGCAACCCCCTGCGGGTTGTACTGATGTTGCCTGATAGGCGAAAGCACCCGATCCACCGATCCACGCATGTTGTACTCGGTGCTTACCTAGTTGGCAACCCCGACGACGCGACGCCGCGTTCGAGAGAGAGAGACGGTGTTACAAACTTGTCAATGGTGGGTGTCCGCTTGCTTGCGCGAGGGGTGGGGCTGCTATGCTTATCGCCTGCTTAAAAGGCTTTTGCTTGATGAGATTAAGACTCTAAAAGCGTCTCGAAATCTCTTCTTCCCTCGCCGAGCGAGACACTCTGGCGGCCCCACACACGGACACACACACTCAGACTCAGCCAGCGATTAATTTGGAGTACCTAAACCTACTGCACGGCGACTGCGCGTCGCCGCGCCCCACCGTCGGGCCGTTGCCGCGGGCCGCTTGGTCGCGGTCCGGTGAACTGCCTAAACGCATTCCCTCCTGCCCCCACCCCCTTCCTCCCACCAATACCAATGCGTGTCTCTCTTTCGGACCTCTCTCTCCACCTTTCTTCTATCTCGCTCTCACACATACTCCGGCCGCGCTTGCAGGAGGCCAATTCACCAAACTCAGTCGGTTGTGGCGTGATGTGATCCAGTTCTGTTGCGTCACGACTGCTTCCTAAAGGATACATTGCGGCGCGCCGAAGGAGTTTCGGTTTCAACGTGTACGGGTGTAAAACGGAAGCCCCTTTTGTTTTGTTTTATGTTTCTCTCTGTAATTTTTGTCTTCGTGTTTGTCTATTGCAATTTAAATTTGTAGGTGTGGGGAGGGGTAAGAGGCAGTTTTCGGATGCGTGTTTTTTTTGTTTGTTTTGTGTTTTAGTAAATGTTTTTTTTTTTTTGGGGGGGGGGGGGTGCGTATTTCCGACACGTGCGACGCCTTTTCCGCGGACTCGCGCCGATGGTCTCGGATCGCGTCGCGCGCCGGTGTGTGGCACGGTGTCGTATTCCCGAAACGCCCCGCGAAGGTGCCTTGAGGAGTCGCCCTGTCAGTCAGTCCCATTGGGGGACGCCGAGGGGGCAATAACTCCGGGAATCATGTGTACACCTGCCTGGGAATCACTGGATAAAAATCAGTCAAAATCAACAGAAATTGCTTAAAATAAGCGGGAAACTAGTGGAATTCGTACAAATTAGTCAAAATAACGTAAAAATTAGGAGAAATAAGCGTTTCCTACTACTAGAAAACCTAAGGAATGAACATAAGAGGACGGGAATCACTGGGAATCAAGGTTTTCGGGAATCATGTGTACACATTTAAAGGTAGTTATTGCCCCCTCGGGGGACGCCGTCGCCGGCGTGCGGGCGCAGAAGCGGCGGCGGAAGGAGGAGGAGGCGGGCCGGGCTGTTTCGGCCTGTTTTGTAAAGACGCGACTACTTGCTTTCTGCCTCGCGGGTGAAACTTTTGAATATGGAGATGGGTCACGGCGCGGCCCTGGCTGTTTGTTGCTGTGCTTGGCCGCTCGCTGCCGCGGGGCCTCCCCGCGACCGTGACCGAGGGCGAGACGGAAGCGCGGGTTCGTTTGCCTGCAGTATCCACCCTTAAGGCGTGTTTGAAAGGAGCCGCGTTAAGTGCGCGCGCGTGTGTGTGTGTCTGTGTGTAAAGGGGAGGAGGGGGCGGCTGTGTACCATGGCTATGGGTATTGAGGACTTCGGGCGCCGGCAGATAGGCAGCCCAACGTGCGCGGCGGCCACGCTACGCCACGCCACGCTCGCCGTACTCTGCTTTAGAGAACCGCGGTCAATAGTTTGCGTGTCATATTACTTTCTCGCTACCGCCCTAGTCCCACCGCAAAGGCACACACGGCCCGTTAGCTTGCCCCCCTGTGTGTACCTGCTTATTTGCATAGCGAGGGGACCTTTCGCTTTGGCGGCGTTATATTTGCTTCGGCAACACGACGGTTATTAAACCTTTTCACGCAATACATTTCTGTTGAATATTATTTTGCGCTTTCATTCATTTCCGTTGTCGTTGTTAGTTTGGGGCGCTCGAGGCGCCACAGCTCCCCGATGCGGTCGGCGCCGGTGGCGCTGCGGTTGGAGAGGGGCTGCGCCAGGGCTGCGCGCCGTGCGCCACCAAGCAGAGGCAGGCGGGCGCCACGCTGCGCCGACCCGACCCGACCATCCCGGCCGACGGGGCCGACGGGGGGAAGAAGCGCTTCTCGGAATCGCGTCTCGTCCTCGTCCCCGCGATGGCCATGTCTCTGCGAGGCGCGCTGCTGCACAGCAGTGCACAGCTCTGCGAGCGCTGTGCCGACCGAGAGGAGGAGCCGCCTCGGAGGATGCAGCGCGCAGGGAACC